TTTCAAAAAAAAAAAAAAAGAAAAAAAAAAACGTTTCACTTCTTTCACTTGTAACTTCTTTTAATAAACACTTCTTTTAACAAACACACGTAATAAAGTATATTTTCATATATAAAGACCGTTTCGATAATTTATTTCACTTAGCACAATCTTAAAATGCGAAGAACAATTAACAACGATCGACATCGATTTAACTCCGAATCGCGTTATCCCGAAACTAACATTGCGAAATGTTTGCTCGATTTAATATATGAACTGTAAATGAATGTTACAACCACTAAACTGATAGAATTATTTAACCGAAATGCATAATTAAAAAAAGAAGTAATTTGGTGACGTAAAAAGTTGTAATTCACTACTCCAAAAGAACAATTTTATAAGTAAACGACGCGCAATCGAAGAATTTCGCGTTTGAATAGTTAGAAAGCAGCGCGCAACCGTTGACGAATCAAATTAAACTTGATGAAGTCTCATTGGTTGCTGGAATCAGGTGAGCCAACTGTTAATGGATCAATACGCAATGAAAAATTAAGACATATCGAAAGCTTTTTGTTCCATCCTTTATGTTACATCAGCGTTTAGAGTGAGTAGACGCGTTTTGCTGTATTGGATTCTAATGTTTTCGTGTGATTGTTGATAGTTTAAATTATAGTGTTAACCGTACGTTAGAGTAAAAGATATTCTAAATATGAGGTTGTGGACGTCTCATTATACATTTGAGTAAGTGATTCCTGTAAACGCTTATGCATTTGTAACTTTTAAGGCTAGGATATAGGTAAACTTTATTTTGTTGAAAAAGAAAATAGCGCGATATACAAAATTCTGACGTATCTTCTTTTTGTAGGCATCCATGGGAAACAGTCGTGAAAGCAGCATGTAGAAAGTATCCAAATCCCTTAAATCCATCGGTTCTTGGAACCGATGTCATCGACAGGAAAGTCAAGGACGGTGTCCTTTATTCTCACAGATTGGTGACTACACAATGGCGTTTTCCTAGATGGATATCACCGGTAAGTGTACGAATAATATTTAATAAAATCATTTGTCCTATATAATAACAAACATAACCTCTTCAAAAGAATTGCAAAACTATGATCTGTAACTTTGCCCAAGTTACTTTGAAGAATGTAAATTAACACAATATTAATGATATGCTTGTTTCTAGATATATATTTTCGATATTCAGCTGAAATTTATTTATATATTTCTAAATAGAATGCTGCATTATAGTATCTGTTTAAGATTGTATTAGTAAACCATATTACGTATTACTAATACAAATGTAGTTACATATTTATAAATTTTTGTGATTTCTACGCATACAAAATTTTTACATGCACGAACACTTTAAGTTAAAAGAAATATTTCTTAATCGTATTAAGTTTATAGTATGAAGAATATTTTTAATTCTGTTTGTTATCATATTATCTACTCGTTAGCTTATTTAATTTTTTTGATACGAAGTGCTTAGTAATTTATGTCATGTCATTTTGTGATCCATATTAAATTATCCCTTATTCGAAATTTATTTGCTTATATTGCATGATTAATTGTAAAATTTTCCATGCTCGTTTTAGTTCTTATCATAGCCGTGTCAGCGCTGGCATCGAGATTGTTTACGTTTCGAAATTGATTTTATTGGTTAACAAAAGTAGGGAAATACGAAAAAAAGGAGCAAGAGAATGTTAATCCTGTTAAAGTTTATCCATGGCTTAGATTATCGATTTTGAGTATCATGCACTCTTCTATATATATGGTGTAAAATTGTTTATATATCATCGATGTTAAATAACTTTTCCACCTTTCCTTAAGTTCCAATCGCAAATACTTTATTTTAGTAACTTATTTTGAGATTGATACCGAGAGATCGCAGTGTAATTTACAATTATATGTATATTATTAGCTGAAAACAAAATATCACGAGTGATTACGTTCGTTGCATACGTAAGAACAATTGGCGAAATGCCGTTCAGTGTAAGTTAACAATATATACATTTATACTTACGTAATTCACCGGTTTTGATTATACATTTGGCGCATGCAAGGTCTCGGTTCCGTTGTTCCAACTTCCTAAGTAGATTATGCATTTCTACGATCAGGCATTTGTTAATCCTCAATTAGGTAACGTATATGTATTACATAATACGGAGATACGATGTCGTAACAGGAATATCTACGTTGATATTAAATCGATTTTTTGTTTTTCTAAAGATTACACTTTGTAGATTACATGTTCGTGTACCGAACTATTAATTTAATATGCGACTGTTCAACTATCAAGATATTAGAAATAAGGAAGGCAAAATGTTAGATAGATGTCGTGTTCCTGCTACTCTTCTAATTCCATCTCCTAATTTGCCCCATTAAGCGATAAAGAATATTTCTTCGTTTCGTCTACGTCGTACCTGTCTATTCAAAGAGTAGAGTTTATCCCGAAGTTTGAATATGGTAAGAAATCAATCTACGCGCGGAGTTATGCGTTCTTTCTTTGCCAGGGTGCCAGTTTATAGACAAAACAGTAGCCCGCCGTTTGACCAAGCAATCTATACAAACAGCGGCAGTAGCTAGCAGGAAATTCGAAACTTTCGACAACGTCGAGCAAGAAGAAGGTGCGGGGTAAACTCGGGCTCGAGGCAAGAGAGAATTACAAAACAACGACACCGACCGTATCAACTTTCATAATGAGCGCTCCCACCAATGTTACGCTCTTTGGCAATCATCCAGCTAGGCGCCTGCGTTTTGGAATATACACTGGCCTCCCTTAGAGCCTCAACCCTCAACCCTGTTTCTTCTCCAGCCAACGGCAGATTCGAGCTTCGAATCCTTTTCGGCTCGGCGAATTGCTTCCTTTCGCAGGATTTTCTATAAGCTTGGCCATTTCGCAAAGCCGTCCTGTTGTGCCGGCTCTCTCGCTCGAATGCCTCGAATCACAGTTTCGTATATAACGAATGCATAGTAGGAGGAAGGAAAGAGAGGAAAGAGGGAGAGAGGTATCGCCTTCACGTTTAGGCACTCTTGAAATTACTTGACGGAAGGGAAAGTGCAAAGCCTCGTTTCAATTTGAGTTAGCCGGTAGCCCCCTCTGTTCCTCTTTTATTTTTTACCCCCAGTTTTCACTTCTCCCTACCTGGAACGCGTTCGCCGGGCCAACTGCTGTATCGACGAAAATTTCGGACTAATTAACGGATGCATTCGAATAACAAGTTGCGTTTAGCATCGCTCGTTGGATATTCGAATAATTACCGATGCGGGAGTGACCTTATGGACATGGTACTAATTGTCTGCGTCTGGGCAATTAAAGTATAATTAACGAGAAACATATAATTAATTAGAAATAAACAGTATAGTAAGTCGTGAATAGCTAAACTCGTTCGACGAAATTCGATCACGTTCGAATTAATTTGATATTCTTTATCGTACATGTGAAATATTTCCCGATAAAATTAAATTATTTCAATTCGGCGTATCTCTGCTACGCGATAGTAACAAGTCCGAAGAATTTATTTTTCGACGTTATTTATGTTATCTGTATTTAATTTATTTCTTTTTCTTTGGCGTAGATTACTGCCAATTCGCAGTTTGCATTTTACGTCACGTGTTTGTAAGGTTTATTTTTAAGACGATAAATATCGTGTTTGTACTTGTTTCAGTTGTTCGGTCATCAAGGACCATACTATGCCAGCGAATGGAGCGAAGTTAATCCAGAATCGAAAGAAATGGTGGTGAGAACGATAAATGTAAGTTCGTTGGTATTTCTATTTTATTTACGTATATTACCATCAACGCGATTTTAACGTTCAAATTAGCGAAATGCTTTGAACAATTCACGATTATATCGTGATTATATTAGAACGATACTTCGTATTAACGATACGTTAACAAGTTAGCTCGGCGTGCAGAAATAGTTTCGCTGTTCGTTTCCACTTAATTCATATCGTTAATCGAAATATCATGTATAATGTTTAATCAGTCGAACGAGAACTCCCGTGAAGCATGCTTTTACGGAGATTTCATTACATTTGCTCTTTATTACTCACATATTACTCGACAAAGTACTCTGACCGCATTTGTAATTTATCTTCGTGAAACGAGATAAATGGAGGACGAATAAATCGATATTCAACGTGCAAATGTTGCTTTGCACTTCGTGCCGGATCGTTGAATCGTATTATACTCGTATCGATCTAATTGCAACGAATAATTCGACGATAAAACGAACGAAAGGATCATGCAATGATTCCTTAATTTCAAGCACGTCGATATTTAAACATTTCACGCAATCGGGGTGCAACTTCTTGCAGTACTCGCGTAAACAATTCATTCGAACGGTGAAACGAATTTGACAAAGTGCAACCTGCGCGAACCCTGACGCACACGTGCCCCGTTCGTGTACCCGAGTAATCGAACAATCAATATATTCTCGATTCCATTCGAATCGAGATCAGCAAGAGTAATTGGAAAATAGCCTGATGGAATTTCACTCGTAGAATTACACTCGATTTTTCCGACAAGCCTGTTCATCGCGTACACTTGTAATACGCTTTGTAATCGAAAAGCATGTTCGCGTACGCGAGCAATTTTGTATCTTGAAAAATGGCAACAGAGAATAGCGACATCAGTCATACTGTCCTTTTCTACTGCAATATTTACCGGGGGAGAAAATTATGGACGGTAGAGCTTCCAGATGGAGTAGCAGATACATTTACTAGAGTTACAAGTACGAAGAGATCGGCACGTCTTTGGGCCGGCTATGGTGGTGGTAGGTAGCATCGCATCGCGTCTAGAAGGTTGGATATGATAGGTTATTGATGCGCGCATTACCGGGGGGTTGCATAGCTTCGTGGTCTCCTCGGAGGGATGTGCCAGCCGGGCTTGAGGAAGACAGGGCGGAAAACGGCGAAGGAAAGGGAACTGCCGAAGCATGTCGCTAGTGGCCCTTTTGCTACGCGTCGAAGATCGTTCGTTCGCTTCCTTGCACGATCGTCGGTCAATAAGAGGGGAAAAGAGAAACCGGGATGCTAGATGCATTACAGGTATGATGAACGATCCGCAGGTGGCTCGGGGTAAAAAGCGCGGTCTTTCCATCTACAAGCAGTTGCCACCACCTCGATCGTTTTTACTTATCGAGTCCCGGCACTCGAACAACCCGTGCTATCGGGTGCTTAGAGGGTTGCGCGAATTTGTACACCGAGATGCTTTTAAGCGAGCGAAAAACACGCGCTTGTTCGTTTCTCCTATCCCCGACTCTTTGCAAAAATCCACGGACAGAATAAAAAGGACTTTTAATTCGGTGATGTCTGCATTAGGTAGTTTTAGTAAAATATGAACCGAAACACGCGCAATTTCGCGGCTGACTTGTTGCGTAAATATTAACGGCGGAGCATCGCGCAGAGCTACTACCTGCCCATTTATCAGCTGTTTTATATGTAACTTTGCTGTTTGCCCGTATACATCAAGTATGAAGCGTAAACTGGTCGGCTATCGTGGAACGATATACAACGCGGATCTCGCGATACGTACTCGTTGCTTCACTAGCACCGGATACATTATGCATCGCGCAGTTTCTTCAGCGTTGTATTAATTGTTTAAAAATGCCAAACATTTCGAACTAGCTATCGTTCATCCGGAGGCGATGAATTTCTCAAAGCGAAGCGTATTATTATGCAACTGCAGCGGAATGTATTCCCAGAACTAATTTCGGAGATTCCGGGTAAATTATGTCACCGTTAAACGACACTGGAATAAACATGAAAGTGTTCATTAGAGGATAGAACGAAGCGATAGAAAGCCGCGGAAATGTGAAATCGAGGTGCGTTCCGACACGTAGAATAGGCAGCGCGTGGTCACTCGTTCGTTCCGCTTTCCTCGATCTCTACCCGCCACCAGGCTCGAGTTGCTCGGTTTTTGTTCGAATCTTTGCTTAAGGAAATACACGTGGACTGACGGATTAGCTGGATGCATGAACGCAATAGTGAAATAGTACCGCAAACAGCGGCAGAAACGTGGAATTTCCTCGTCACGCGGGTCGTTCGTCTTGCAAAGTACGCGGGAGACGGGAATCCACGTTCACGATCCTCGCGACGTCCTCTTTCCCGCTGTCGTCTTTCCAATTAAGGTGAGACGGTAGCAGGAAGCGTCGTG